AGCAATGATACAACTTGCAACATCTTGGGGGAAGATTATTTCCTTGTGTTTAATACCCACTATGACAAGTGGTATTTTCAATCATCACAAAATAACCCCGTTCCTCAATGGAGTTCTTCAAGGAACCGACACTCAGCTGAATCCAATGAGGAGGGAGCTGGGACATCCCAGGGACAGTGACAGCTCCTCCAGCCGCCTGGCGGCCGGTGGTTGAGGGCAGGCATCTGGCGGGAGCTCCCACCGCCCCCCACCCTCCAGGACCATGGCCAGTCCCCTGCACTGAGCCCTTGACCAGAGAGAAACCTGCCTCGTCTCTAGGTCCTCTGGCCTCAACTTCCTGACCTGAACTCCCACTTGGCGGTCCCCAATCCTCCTGTTCCCCAATCAAAATTCTCAACACAAAACCGCACAGCTCAGCTCCTGTCTACCAGCCAGCCATTCCAGATGCCAACCCTGGTCAGACAAGCTGGGAAGGGTCAGGGGGTTTCCTGGTCTTCAGAAGGCTGCTCCTGGGTCAAGGTCCCAGGTCAGGCAGTATCAGAAGGGGTTGAAGGGTCATTAGTGACCCGTTTCCACCAGAGGTTTCAGAAACAGTCCCCCGGGTTACGCAGTGCCCAGTGAACTCAACCACATTCTCTAGCTGAGCCCTTGATGGGTAGTAGATTCCAACCTCCTCCTCTGGTCCCGCACATTTCCCAGCTGGAGACCCCAGTGTGTTTCACTTCACTCATCTGCACCCCAACCCTTCAACTACTGTGTCAGTACATCCCAAAGGAGTTGTGTTTGGGGTGCTGAGTTCCGTGGAGTTGTGCGACTCGCTTTCACGGCTGAAGCCTGTCTCGATGCCTCCCAGACCCCCGGAGGCTGGCAGACAGGACGCAGGCGGCCCCGTCAGGACTGGGGAACTCATCATCAGCCCAGGCCGTCTCAGCACTCAAGTCTGCTGGAGGACGGATCTCTTCTGCAACATCTCCACCTGGTGGCTGGCCTGCCTCGGCTCCAGCATCTCCAGGGACCAGCGACTCACCAGGTCCTGAAAGGACTTCATCCCGAGTGTGAACGTCACATCTGTTCGGCTCCCACCCGATGACCCCAGTTCACACCTCGGAGCCACGGAACAGGTCGAACTGCAGAGAAGCAGCCAACTGTAGTAAGACCTTGGGCTCCCGAGGCGGGTCGTAACTGAGCAAGTTAATGATCACACACATATACATACACACATACCAGAGCAGTTTGTAACTGAGCAAGTTAATGAACAATCACACACACACATACACGCACACATATACATACACACACGTATGCACACATACACACATATGCACATACACACATATGCACACACACATGCACACATACATATACACACACCGGAGCAGTTTATAACTGAGCAAGTTAATGATAACACACACACATACACATAAACACACATACACACACACCAGAGCAGTTTGTAACTGAGCAGGTTAATGATCACACACACACACACACACACACACACACACACCCGTGGCTAAAAAGGAAAAATAAATACAACGCCACCTCCCTAAAGACGAGAGCAGGACACTTCCAGCGCATGGAAACCGCACAGGCGTGTTGTCACTTTCCTTTCTGCTGCTGCTTGGCAACCCTGCAAACTTTGAAAGATCTTTCCTCCGAACCATCTCTCATCCAAGGTAAATACCACAGCCTCATATTTTTAATATAAATCTACTTATTTTTTGGCTTCACTGGGTCTTCGTTGCTGTATGTGGGCTTTCTCTAGTTATGGCCATCAGGGGCTCCTCCCCAGTTGCGATGCGCAGCTTTCTCAGAGGTAGTTTCTCCTGCGGCTCACAGGCCCCAGGCATGCAGGCTCACAGTCTTGGCATGTGGACTCCGCAGCTGTGACACAGACTTAGCTGCCCCTTGGCATGTGGGATCCTCCCGGACCACGGATCAAACCCGTGTCTCCTGCATTGGCAGGCAGATTCTTTATCACTGAGCCACCAAGGAAGCCCACATCACCACCTCTAGAACCATGCCTCTTCGGATGTGTTTTCAAGACAGAATTCTTTACCATCCAGAATTCACTCTTCTTATCAGAGCAGTTTCTTCTGTTCCTTTTTCTATTCCCAGTTCTTTCTATCACCCACATTAGTCCAGGGACAAACTGTGTTCAAAGCTTCCCCCGTGAGCATCAGGAGGGGAGATCCAAAGAGAAGACCCCGGCCAGGGAGGCCGCCTTCACGCAGAGCGTCCACCCACAGCTTCCAACCACCAGGAGCTTACTCAGCCCTGCCCTTCAGCGCAGTGGGCTGGTTTCCCGCCCTTCCCGGCGGGTTCCCAGGAGAGTCCTCTTGAAGCCAGGCTCCCTCTCACTTCCCTTCCTCTCTGGGGCTAAAGAAATGTTGGATGGAGCCCAGATGGGTCCAGGTACGGCTGGCACGGCTCTTCTCAGAGCCAGCTGGTCTCAGTCAGATCAGGCCGCTCTGACGGATGCCACAGAAAGGGGCTGGAACACCAAGCGTCTACCCCCTCACTGTCCCGGAGGCTGGGGTGCTAGCTAACGCAGGGTCTGGTGGGGGCTCTCTTCCCACTGTGACCTTCTGTGGTCGACGGGGCGAGGGAGCACTCTGGGGTCTCTTTCATCAGGGCACGAATCCACCCTCAAGACCTAAAGCCAAGGCCCCCCTTCCTGATACCAACACCCTGGGGAGGTTAGGATTTCAACACAGGAAACCGACATGCAGCCCATAAAATAGCTCCTCCACCTGCCAAGAAGGGCAGTCCACGGTGAGTTCTTCCCCTCCTTTCCCCAAGTCCTTTCCAAGCCTGAGAACTCCTCTCTCCCCCAACAGAACTCCCCGGTGGCAGGGATCCCAGAGAGGCTCTGCCGCCCACATCCCCAAGAATGGGACGCTCTCGTGGGATGTCGGCCGTGAAGGCCGGCTCCAGGGTCACTGACCCCGTGACTTGGTGCGATTCCTAAACACCACTCTGGGAACGGGCGGGGGTTCCTGGGGGCTCGCCATCCCTCTGGAACATTCCAGACACCTTCCAACCTTGCCAGCAGGCGTTCCCCCTCTAAGCATAGCCTCACCCCTCCTGACTCCATCAGACTGCTGAGGTTGCAATAACACAGCACCCAGGGAAAGCAGCTCAAGAACAACATGGGTTTATCCCTTAGTAAGGTATCCTGAGGGCTCCCCTGGTGAAGGATCTGCCTGCCAATGCAGGAGACACAGTTTGATCCCTGGGTCAGGAAGACCCCTGGAGGAGGAAATGGCAGTCCACTCCAGTATTCTTGCCTGGGAAATCCCGCGGACAGAGGAGCCTGGCAGGCTAGAGTCAGGCAGGACTTAGCAACTGAGCAACAAACAACACGCTACGGCCCCAGTGGGGGACAAGACACGCCACACAACCAAGGGATGTGCTTCTGGTCTGTCTGTCCGCCTGCCAAGACTTAAGGAGACTCCTGCCGTATGTTCTGCATACTCTGCCGTATGCTCTGATGAATGTCCACAATATCCCACCCCCTCACCCCAGACACACTCACATCTTGTTATATCATCACACTGCTTATGTCTTACGGAGAATTCACACACAGTAACATTCACTCACCTCTTTGTCTCTCTTCTAGAACATAAACCCCATAAGATCTGGAGCTTGCCTGTCACCCACCAGTGTGAAATCAGAAAAGTTTATTACGCAGTAGACAGTCAATAAGCATTTGTTAAATGAATGAAGTCTCCACTTCATTTTCATTTGAAAATGAAGATTATCAAACTGATCGTATTTTTATCAGTTTAGTTAAAAATGCAAACCATCTCATTTTATCAAACCTCTCAAGATGGTTTGGTGTTCAGGTTTCAGATGTATTACTGGGGGTTTAATTCCTTTCTGTGATACACAGGGATTGTGCAAGCCACCAGTCAATATTCATTTTTCAGATATGGGAAGTCTATCTGCTAACATTCAAAGGTTTTCCTTGATGTGTCTTTATCTGAATCAGTTAAGTCTCTTCTCACAAATGAGGAATATTAAGTAAATGGCTGCTTTCATAAAATAAAGAGGTGACTAGCACAAATAATCCGCAGCTTCTGTTAACAAGCTTCTCTTCAGTGTCTGAAATAATCAGCACCACTTACAGGCCTCAGACTCCATGCTGAGAGTCACAGGTCAGACCCCAGCCCCATGACCAGCACATCACCACCCCAACGACAGTGATCTCAAGGCCCTGCTGCTGCTGAAGCGGGGCTCTGAACCCAGGTCTGCCTTGCACCAAAGCTCAGGATGGTTTATTTCACTATCAAATCAACACCAACTATTCCACCACAGCATGTATCTTCTCTGAATACCACAGTTCATCAAATCTGAGACTCTGCCAACAGTGGCTGACATACAACTGTGCCATGCAATACCACACTGCCAATTAGGTTACAAAACACCATCAACTGGAAGGTATGTCACAATTCAGAAATGTTAAAATGTGCATATATGTACACAGATTTACACACACATATACATCTAAGATTGACAAAATATAGTAATCCAATAGCCTTGGAACAAGTTATTCCAAAAAAAGTGTTATAAAATATAATACTTCTCTAAACCTTTAGAAAATTAATCTTGTCCTGAAGTACAGAAAGAAATAAAAAAAAAGTGATAAATCTAAAGTATGAATAAAGTTATAGGAAACAGCAAGCATTTACAACACATTCCCTCTTTAAAAATTATTTCTTGTCATCTGTGGCGTCAAATCCTATCCTTCACAATGTGCAGAGCTGCTAACGTCTCTCCCAGCCATCAACGTGAGCACAGCTGACTCGAATCTTCGCACGTCCAAGTGCACAGAGTGGTGAGCACCGCTGTCAGCATACACCATGCAAAGGGGCTTTTCATCTAACTGCTGGCCTCAACTTCTGCTTATTTTCTCCAGAAGTCAGGGAAAGTACTTGTCATCTGTGGCGTCAAATCCTATCCTTCACAATGTGCAGAGCTGCTAACGTCTCTCCCAGCCATCAGCGTGAGCACAGCTGACTCGAATCTTCGCACGTCCAAGTGCACAGAGTGGTGAGCACCGCTGTCAGCATACACCATGCAAAGGGGCTTTTCATCTACCTGCTGGCCTCAAATTCTGCTTATTTTCTCCAGAAGTCAGGGAAAGTAATTGTCATTTCTCATTCCACAGCGGTGAAAAACATAATCTTTGCTGAAGACACAGCCTTAAGTCTCTAGAAGATCAAAGACTCCAACACCTCAGAAAACTCTGGGTAGAGCCTGTATGGGAATGACCGACGGGAAGCGCACGGGTCTTCAGGGCCTCCCGTCTCTTCCCCTGAAAGCGCGCGCGTCGTAGGCCCACACCGTGTCCAGCCCCTCCCCCGTGACCTGCGCCGGGGTCCAGTGCGGGAAGGGGAACCGGCAAGCGATGACCCGCGCGTCGTCCTTGAGTTCAAGCTCGAGCTTCTCCTCCAGCTGCGCCATCTGTGGAGAACGACAGCCGTCATTTCAGGGAGCAGGGGTCACAGGAAGGGGCTCCCCGGGGTCCTTCTGTAGTGTCCCTGAAAATATCTGTGCCAGGTTACTGACTGTAAAACAGACCACTCCTGGGCGACAATCCACCAAAATACAGACGTCACGTGAACCACCGTTTTAAGACTATCTTCTATCATCAAATATAAAATGTGCCCTTTTTAGCAAATGTGTATCACAGATTCCCACTTTCCTAATGAAATATGGTAACTAATTCCACTTTAACTAACGAAGTATGGTAGAATTAGACGATGGAAAAAATACACTTTCTACCAACTTGAAATATGATCAAACATTTTACAATTCTTTTAAAAAGATATCCATAATATACCAATAATCAATGTCTTTATAGTCAACATAACTTACGAAAAGTAAAACTCTCTTATGTATCACTTTAACATTATTTTACGAGTAATCTGTGAAGGAAGAGTTTCACTGTTTACTCAAAGTACTGGCACTGTGATTACATTAGCAAATTAACAGCCGCTTAATATTTTATCTTCAGGTCCTAAAAATATATTACCACCTTCACCTCTTAAATATATTTTTCTTTATTCTTTTACTATTTTCAAATAATTTCAAATTTACAAAAAGGATTCAAGAATAGAGCAAAAAAACTGCTGTGCCCCTTACCCAGGCTCACCAGTCTTCAGCAGTTTGTCACAGCTGCTTTATCTGACTTGCTCTCTGCCTCCCTCTCAGAACCCTTTCCTAAACCATCTGAGAGCAGGCTGCCCACAACATGGCCCTTTACTCCCTGGTACCTCAGTGTTTTCTGAGAAAGAGCCTCAGCACGGTTATCAGATTCAGGAAACTTAACATCGTATCCCAACATCAATCATCCCCACAGCACCCGATCAAACACCCCAGAGTGTCCTTCACAAGTAATGATTCCTTGAATCTGGGACAATTTCTTGCCTCTCCTTGTCTCTCATAACAATAACCTCCTTTAAGAACACAGGCCAGTCGACTTGAAGCAGTTGATCAAACATATAGTTCTGTATATGATCAATGATTGTAATGGTGTAACTCTAAACATGGGAAGATACAAGAGGCAATTTTTACCCGGACCATGACAGATTGAGTGAGACAGCTGGCCCAGAGCCCTCTGGTTACTGCCAACAGACCTAGTCCAGTAGGAGCACACTCAGTGACCCGTCTGCAAAGCCTTCGCTGGCCCTTGGAATGAGCCTTCCCGGCATCGTTAGGTTAAATGGTCACGAAATGCCTCCCAAAGGATGGTCGAATTTAGGACCACGAGGAGGCCCTGTCAACTACAAACGGGCATTTGCCATCTCCCTCTGTGAGGGTTAAATCACATGCTGCTGCAGTTGCTGACCGCCAAAAACCCCCGAAAGGAAGTCCGGGCCGAAAACCCGGGCCCCAGGGGAAAAACCGGCAAGGCAAACCCTCAAAAAAAAAAAAAACCTCAAGAACCGAACTCAAGAACCCAAATCCTGCAACCCCCCAAAACCAAAAAGGCACTAAAATCCTTCATGGTGATGAATGTGTCTCGTGACCAGCAGAAAGCTTCTGCAAAAAAATGTATGTGCTTGACTGTAAGTATTCCTCCTTCACCAAAATCACATAAATGCTAACCTAACCCCCTGCCTCTTTGGAGCAGTTTCTCAGAGCTATCTGAGGGGCTGTCTCCCAGGCTACAGTCCTCAGTTTGCCTCCAAATAAAATTTTAACTCAACAAAAAAAAAAAGGACACAGCCTGGTCCCTCTGGTGTCTTGTGATGAGCGGTGTGTGCGTCCAAGGCAACGATCCAGCAGAGGGATTGTGAACTTCGCACACTCCACAGTCCTGAGCCCATGGAGTCCTTCTGCTTTGAGGGTGATGCACCCCTCAGTTAAGGAGGTATCTCGGTGTCTCCAGAGCATGGTTACTATTCCTCCTTTAAAATGAACAAGATACTGTGGGCAGACACCTTGAGAAGATGCAAATGTCTTGTTACGTGTCTAACTGTCCCCCAGTGAGTGCTGCATTCTTGACAACTGTGCCCAAGTCAATTTCACTATACAGGTTGAAAGTGGCAACTTTCCAAGCCCATCCTTGCTTTCAGATCAACAGTCAGAATCTCAGGGAAGAGCTCTTTCCACCATTGTAAGCATGAACTCCTGGGTACATCAATGGGTTATGATCCGCTGTCATCCTCATTTCTTCTAACACTCAAGTTGCCCAGTTTGGTCATCGGGAGCCCCTCAAGCTGGCTTCTCTCCCGTGCATGTGCCCTGACCAAACCTTCTGAGCGCTTCCTCACCACATTCAGACTCAACTAAATGTTCCAGGCTTTCACACCTTCCCTTCCCAGCCCTGGAACAACCAACTTTCAAAAAGTCCCGGGTCCCCCGAAGGAAAAACGAAGGTTAAAAAACAAAAACCGGGCAAAAACCAACCCTTAAAAAGAAACAAACAAAAACTCCCCCGGAGGCCCAAGGCCAACAAAGCCATGGCCCCTCCCGGGTGATCTCAGCCCCCTTGGCTTCAGCTCCTGGGCACTGATGCCCCAGTGAGCCCCCTGCCTTGAGCCCAGAGCTCCAGGCATGTGCCACTGCCCACCTGACATGCCTACATGTGTCAACCCACACGTGTCCCAGACCCTATGTGCCAGATAGGACTCTGCCTGCCCATGCAGGGGACACGGGTTTTGATCCCTGGTCCAGGAAGATTCCACATGCCACAGAGCAACTAAACCCATGCTCCACAACTACTGAGCCCGTGAGCTTTAACGACTGAAGCCTGCACGCCGAGAGCCTGTGCTCACACAAAGGGAAGTCACTGCCGCGAGGCGCTGCGCGCTGAACTGGAGGGGAGCCCCTGCTCGCCACGGCCAGAGGAAGCCCGAGCACAGCAGCCAAGACCCGGCACAGACAGAGATTCATCAATTAACCTACTAAATTAAGATGGACAAGTTTTCTGCAGGAGTTTGATTCCTCACCTGTGTCTTTAAAAAGCAGTTTCGAAAAAAAACTCCTCTACATGACCTGTGGCTGGAGTGAGCCAAAATTCTGATTCTTTATTAGAATCAATACCAAGATAACAATGAATAAATTCCACCAAGGATGGAATCTTTTTATTCTTTTAACAGCTAGCAAAAGATTGTTCCATAAAAAAAAAAAGCAAAAATTTTGTTCCTTGAGGGAAAAATTAAATAAGCAAATAAGACAATATGTGTTTTTCCAAAATGTCAAGGGTTTCATATGGTAATTTTGTTCATAAAAAGGACAACTGTAAATTTATTGATTACTATTCTTCTTTTCTCTTTTACAGATCTTTTATTTCCAAGTGACTGTCATATGCTAAGTCGAGATAAACCTATGAATGAAAGGCTCTTTCAATCATAAGAAATTAACGGACTAAATTATACATAAATATGCAACAAACCTGGGTCTTGATATCTTACACAAAGAGAAGCCACGATGTGTCATGTCTGCCTAATGAAACTCAAAATTATTCATACAATTATACGTTTCAAAGTGACATGAAACTCATCCTATTCTAATTACCTCTTCAAAACTTTAAATATAAGTTGAAACCAGGGTGCCCCCCAATGGATCTGCCAGCTCATCCTGTTGTTTCTGTCCTCACGGAGCATCCAGAGTCTGACCACCTGTCACCAGCTTCTCCACCCTGGCACTAGCTTCCCCCACTGATGGTCTGGATGCCCACAAGAGCTCAGACCCGTCTCCCAGCATCTCCCCCACCCTCTGCTCCCCATGCAGGCCCTGTCCTTCCCACCTGGTCCCCCATATCTCTCCCCCGCCACCTCTGCTCACCCCCTCCCACCACCCCCAACTCCTCACTGCTTCTGGACCCACAGGAACACACCCCTCAGCACCTTTCCTTTAGCAGTGGCTGTTCCTCAACCTGAAGCACTCTTCTGGACATGGCCGCACGGCTCCCCCTCACCTCCAATGTCCCTCTTCAAGGATGGTCTCCCTTCCGCTTTCGTGAGCCCACAGCACTGACCCACCCCCCTTACTGTTCCACAGTCTACACTGCCATCTCACTGAATACCTGCTTTCCCAACTAGCATGTAAATACCTTGGGGCAGGGATGTTTTCTTTTTTCTCTTTACTCACTGAAGTACTTGAACAGGGACTGATGCTTAGTGGGCCCTGAATAAACACTTGTTTAAGGAATGACTGAATGTAGGATTCATGGCCATGAGTCCTATTTCTTTAGCAGAACACTGAGACAGTATTTTCATTCATGGATTCATAACAGAATTCGTAACTAAAATTAAATGAGTCATCCTTTGAAGTTATGAAACTTAATTGCCCATGGAAACAGTGTACTTAAGGCCCATGTTTATATGATATTCATCCATTCCTTTAACAAACATCCCCTAGGTGATCACTCTGTGCCAGGAGCTGGGAGTCTGGCAGAGAGCTCAACAGGTCCGCCCTGTCCCTGAGCTCACAGCAGTGCACACGGCCAATGCCACCAACGCCATCACACAAGCAGAAGTGCAGCGCACGTCCACGGGGAAGGGAACAAGCTCTGGGAATCGTGGTCTCAGGGGTCATAAGGGCAATCAAGGATGGCTTCTCGGAGAAAGAAACATAAGAGAGCTGGGGGCGGCCGGGCGCCCAGGCCAGGTGGAAGGTTGGGCCTTATCGTCGCTGCGTTAAAGCAGGACGAAGTCATGGGAGAGTTTTCAAGAAGAACAGGACCCATCTGTCCGGCACTCCTGGCGCATGAGTTCATGGTAAGCATGGATATCTCCCATCCAGGCACTGGTCTGCCAGGTCCAATGGCACTCTTACTCCTGCTTCGCTGGACACACACGCGTGATACAGGCTCGGACCGCTGTAAGCCAAGCGCCGCTACGCAGAGGTATGAAGAACCGCCAGTATGGCACCAAAAGCAGAGCTGCGGGGGACCGCCAGTCCCACACCGGAAGCAGAGCTGTGAGGAAGGGCCAGTCCCGCACCGGAAGCAGAGCTGTGAGGGACCGCCAGTCCCGCACCGGAGGCAGAGCTGCGAGGGACCGCCAGTCCCGCACCGGAGGCAGAGCTGCGAGGGACCGCCAGTCCCGCACCGGAGGCAGAGCTGCGAGGGACCGCCAGTCTCGCACCGGAAGCAGAAGGAGACCACGTAACACCGGATCTCACCCTCTGATGCTCCCAACACCTGCTCCGGCTTCTTAACGGCCCATGTGTGCCCAACCGGCCACAGGAAACCCTTCCTGCCATGCTGGCTCTGTCCGTCCACCAAGCCCCTGCCGGGACACTGGCCAGTGAGCAGAGAAGGGAAATGCGTTCTAACAGAAGACAGCATAATGGGCCCAGACAGCCTAAAGAACTTTCCAGGGCCCAAAGGACGCCCAAGAGCCAACCTGGCCCCCTGACTCCGCCGGCAGTCCCCTCCCTCCTCTCACTGTTCCCACGCAGGCGAGGCCTGGGGAGGGCGGAAAGCAGGAACGTCCACCCGGAAAACCGAGCCTCCCAGACCGGCCTCCGTGCCCTGATCCGTCCCCCTGCGTGGAGGACTCAAGTTGGCTGAATCCCTCTCGTGCCAGGAGACGTGGGCACTTTGTACATTTCAGCTGCTCCCTTCTTCCTGGGAACCGTGAAATGCTGCGCCTTATTTAAGGCTTCTCTGTGTACAGAAGAATGGCCCATAATCACAAAAGTATTTATCAAAATAACATTCTTCCCTTGGGTGAACAGTTCCCAAAACTGACTACACTTCAAACGTGGTGAGAAGCCCGAGGAGCTGGAGCCGGGAGGCCAATGCTGCCCCCTGCTTGGACAGCACCTCAGGGCCTCTCAAGACAGCGCGGAACATATGTCAGCTTTCCATTTGTGTAAAGCATGGATTTTAAATTAAGATTCTTTGCTTCAAAATGCCAATTATCCCAAAAGAATGCTCAAACTTCACAAAAAGTAGGGAAAAAAACCATTAAATTCCATAGCAATTCTGATACCAAATACGTTTTTTGGTGTTTTTTTTTTAAATGATCAGAGATCATACCTTTCTACCTCTTTTCATTTCTGTAACAAAAGTATAGACACCAGGTTTCATCTTCATGTTAGGCTTGCTGAGAATTATGAACATACAGAATCCTATCACTTTCAAGAATATCTAACAAAAGCACTTCTAAATACTTTTTTTAAAAAAAGAGAGGGAAAAAAATATTTCACTGAAAATTCTAATAGTAAGAAAAAATTTTCTCCAGCACTGAGATACCTTAAGGAAAAATTAAGATATGAATAAGAAAGCATAACAACAAAAAAAGCCCATTTTTTTTTTCTTAATAAAAACCATATCACTTATTTAGTGGCATTTCAGCAAAAAACCAGTATTTGCCAGGATTACTATGCCTACAATTATAGAGCTTGAAAAGTGAAGGATTTCTTTCTATAGTCTGTAAACCAACAATTACAATGAAAGCCTCCATTCTCGTCATCTTTCCAAAGGCTAAATTGAGGACCATTTGCAGTCCAATGCTGCAGCATTTCACTTTCAAAAGTACAGAGTCAGAATTCAACACAAATCAGCCAAATGAGGTCAACAGAAACTAGTCAACTCATGTGCGTGCGTGTAAGTCACTTTAGTTGTGTCCAACTCTCTGTGACTCCATAGACTATAAACTGCCACACCCCTCTGTCCATGGAATTCCCCGAGCAAGAATAATGGAGTGGGTAGTCATTCTCTTCTCTAGGGGATCTTCCCAACCCAGGGATTGAACCCATGTCTCCTGCATTGCACACATATTCCTTACCACTGAGCCATCAAGGACGCCCCCTTCCATTAACTTTCCCAAGTGTTTTCAGCCGGATATAGTAAGTAAGCAACCGTGAAAACCTACTCACATTAGACACCAGGAGCTCATAAAGCAGTTTTCAGACTCGAATTGTTAGGGCTTAGGTAGATCACTGACACCTTCATCTAAAGCAGAAGTTTTAAACTATAAGACTGAATCTTTTATGATTAAACTATTAAGACCCTAAAGTACTTTGTTAAACCAATGATCTGTCATTCTGCACACGGGAGAGCAGGCCAGAGAGAGACGGTCTGTTTGGGCCAGGAGCCCCCTCCTAGCCTAGAAAAGACACTCTGGTGGCAGGAAGGGCGTACTCACCATCTGGGGCACACCAAAGATAACAACATTTGAGTACTGCGAAAAAGTGACCTGAAGGGAAGGGAGAAAACAATTCACAGATTAATTCTGCAAAGTCAAACATCAGCTTAAGCTCTATTTCAAAATAAGTAGCAATTTCCCATTTCAAAAAATAGTCGGTTTTCCAGAAAGAGACTCAAAGACTTAGAAAACGAATTTCTGGTTGCCACCGGGGAGGGACAGTCAGGAAGTCTGGGATGGACGTGTACCTAGTGCTGTATTTAAAATGGATATCCAACAAGGACCTACCGTACTGCACAAGAACTCTGCTCAACGTTATGTGGCAGCCTGGATGGGAGGGGAGTGTGGAGGGAAATGGATACATGTATATGTATGACTGAGGCCCTTTGCTGTCCACCTGAAACTATCACAACATTGTTAATTAGCTATTGTTGTTGCTCAGTAGCTAAGCTGTCTGACTCTTTGTGACCCCATGGACTGCACCACGCCAGGCTTCCCGGTCCTTCACTACCTTCCGGAGTTTGCTCAAACTCATGTCCATTGAGTTGGTGATGCCAACCAACCATCTCATCCTGTGTTGCCCCCTTCTCTTCCGGCCTTCAATCTTTTCCAGCATGTATACCCCAATACAAAATAGAAAGTTCAAAAAAACAGTGGGTTTTCACAAAGAGTGGCCCTTTTTAAGATTTCCCATGTTAATACTTCACCATGTTAGCTCATCTGTTACAGTTTTCCAGAAGTTTCCGCAGAAGCTATCCCAGTTCATCCTCACAGCCACCCCTCACAGGGCCACCCAGATCGATGGTCAGAAAGGCAGGGACTCACCAGTGACCACTGATGGTCACCCTGGTAGACTGGGCCATCTGCACCCCAGCCCGCTTTCTACTCTGCCCTACAGGAAACAAGCTTATCGAGAACTCAAGGTTTTTCAGAACCACGTTTCTCCTGCAGAGTCATCCTTAGAATTGTGGTCCCCCTCCTCTTCTCTAAAACACTAAGTAAAAATGGCCATAAAATGGTCTTTAGTTGGAAAACTGGGGGGAAAAGTGCTTTGCCAGTCAAAATGCTTATTACCCAATAAAAGTTTTATTTACTCTATAGAGAGATCATTTACGTATATATGGAATAAAAAACAATGCAAACAAAACTCAAGTGAATTTTTATAAGCTACTGATGACACTATTACAAAGGAAAATTCTTATTTAAGAAAAAGCATTTTATGGAGCATTCCTAAAGCAAAATTACCAGGCACTTTTTAGAGAACAAGTAAACTTGGAAGTATCTTATACTTTATGAAGACACAAAGGAGCATCACAGCATGGTTGGTGGGTCTTTTCTTTTCTCCTGCACTATTTCTGTTTCTCCCTAGGTATATATACACATACACACATGTACCCACACACATTGACACACACTCACATATACACACACACATAAACACACATACACAAACCCAGACACACAGTCTCAAACACACTCAGACACATATTCATATGTGCATATAAATACACACACACAAAACTATTTACCAAGAATGACACTGACAAGTTAATGCCTATATGACAACGTAGAAGACTTACAAATGAGATTAAAAAAATCTTATCACTGCATAATAAAGAGAAACGAGAACATTTTAAATTGAGTAAATAAAGCCTTAGAAGTCACATAACCTGTAAAGTTATAAACCTTAAGTTTCTACTCTAAAGGTAGGGCTGATTTGTAAAATCTATCAATTTAAAAGCTGTTCACATTTCATAATGCTGAAATATACACTTTAACTCTATTTTAATTCAGTTTTCAGTCATACTAATCAAAAACCATAAAGTTAGCATGTCCTCTGCCATACGTACCTTCCACAAGTCTGAGATGTAAAATCTGGCCGACGCCTGCACCCCTTCCCGCCAAGCGCGGTACCTGGAGTACCAGACAAGCCAGGGGTTCAATTCATAACCCACAGCTGTGAACCCTTCCTTTGCAGCTGCGATCACCTGTGGGGAGAGGCCATGTTCAAGATCAGAAAAAGACATGAAAACTCCCTACTTATGTTGTTACTGTTGTTGAGTCCCTAACATCATATCCAACTTTTTGCAACCCCATGGACTATAGCCTGCCAGGCTTCTCTGTCCATGGGATCTTCCAGGCAAGAATACTGGAGTGGGTAACCATTTCCTCTTCCAAGGGACCTTCCCAACCCAGGGACTGAACCCACAAGAAGCAGAATTAATTCAATACCAACTAAAGGGTTTTACAGAAAATTATCCAATACTAATGGAAGACTGAAATTTTTCTCCCCAAAACACTGATTTTTTTTTCCTAGGAGTCATCCTTGGAAAAAAACATAAAACAGTCAAACTACATGACTTAACATGTTTCTGTTGGCCTAAGTTTTTTAATGAACAATTTCATAATCATCAATTGTTCCTTTTTACCAGACATCCAGAGCACTTTCCCCTTTAAGAACAATTAAATCTAAGAAAAATAAATTCCAAAGTCCTGCTGAAGGACTGAAGTAGTTCAGCCAAACAAACACAAAATTAAATGACTATTAGGCCATCAATTTAACAAGGCTTTGCATAAGCCTCATAAGAAAAGTGAAACGGAAATTTTAAAGCATAAAACCTAAAAAAACATAAATCTTAAAACATCTTCAAGTAACTCACAATACGTCCGTCACCACTACCAATGTCCACCAGGGGTCCTCTCCTGCATTGCAACATTTTCACAACATTTTCTATCTGTTTCGTAGTTGCAGGTACAAAAGGCAAACAAATTCTTCGGAGGGCTGGTGTTATAAATGGTGTGGCCACGGCATACACGGCCACCAGCGTGCCCCCAACAATGCCAGTAAATAAGACCCCCCAACTGCTTTTCTTCAATCTGTTGGCTTCAAGACTTGTAGGTGGAACAAATTCTGACAGCCTTTCTTTTTCAAGTGTTGCTGGGTGTGTCCCTGGGTTGAGAGCAGAAAAAGATATACGAAACATCAAATCAGAAATCCAAGGTAGTCTTTTTTCCCCCACAGTTCTTATTAACAAATAAACTCATGCTTTTTAAAGGCTAATTTTGCTCAATACAATTGGAATTACAAATGTAGAATTCCACAATAAGTTCTACAGTCCATCAACTAGAGTGTTTAACAGAAAATCTTTTGAAATCTGAAAATCTTTTCTTTCCAACATACTGATTTTTCCTCCAGGAGTCATCCCCGGAAAATAATGTGTTCAAATCTATTTATGAATCAGTATCGTTATGACTCAGTACATGGCATCACCGACTCAATCAATGGACATGAGCTTGAACAAACTCCGGGAGATAGTGAAGGACAGGGGAGTCTGCCATTCTGCAGTTCATGGGATCACAAAGACTCAGACAGGACTTAGCAGCTAAATTTAGCAACTAACCAACAATCCATTAATAAAAATATTAATCATGTACTCCTTATTTTTGTGGTTCAGAACAAAACTCCATAATAAGCATAAAAATGTCTAATCATTATCCTATTTCAAATAGGAGGAAAGCATTCTACATCAAAATTGGTCAGGCATCAAAAATCCGTGGTACAAATTCAATTCTGAAGTTAACAGAGGAGACAAAATCCTGGTTTTACTAAAAATCTTAAATAGTTATGGTAATAAGAATTTTAAAGCAGATCCATAAAGGACCAAAAAATACTCATTTCAGTGCTATCACAGTACAGAATAAAACAAACTCTAATCACTGATTACTGAGGGAATAAATGGTACCTTAAACATCCTCCTCTTGAGTTTTATGCTTTAGAATGTATTCGTAATAGGATCTCACATTTTTTATGTTGAAATTTATTTGAAGTTAACTCTGAAATGGATTAATGAAGGGCACAGCACAGAGGGTAAGGGCACAGCAGCAGAGCCTGCGGAGGTCGGACCCTGGCTCCACCCCTTACTAACAGCTGTGACCCTTCACCTCTCGGAACCTCAGTCTCCTCATCTGTAAAGTGGGGATCACAGGATCATTGTGAGAATGAGACAAGGGGATACAGGCAGAGCATGCACAAAAGTGCGCAGCACTGGAACCCCACCAGAACAAGACCACCCTGCCCTGAACCAGCTCTCGCTCTAGCTGAGGCGCTAAAACCAAAACCACGGGAATCTGTAGACAAATGGAGTAAGAGGAAGGGGCACAAGAGTCTTATCATTTAAAACATGAGTGTTCACAGTTTGGGCAACAGTAAGCTGTTCTAAAGGTCACTGTGTTTAGTCTCCTACTGATGCGGTAAGAAATTACCATACACTAGGCAGGTTAAAAACGATACACACTTACTAAAGTACAGTTCTGGAGGCCAGATTCTGAAACAGGGTGGAAGTGCTTCTGGAAGCCCTGGGGTAGGACGGGCTGCCCGCACTCCTTGGCCAGTGGCCCCACACCAATCCAGCCACCGGCTCCACAAGACACCTCCTCTGACACCCCTGCTCTCCCTTCCTGCTTAGGAAAGGAATCCTCTCCTTGGGAACACACTAGCCCACCCAGATGGGCCAGGACAAGCCTCCCGTCTTGACGTCCTTCACTCAACCACATCCGCCGAGCAGCTCAGGCAGTGCCCTCACAGGTGCTGGGAATCAGGGCATGGACTGACTTCTGCTTACCGTCCCTGTGTGTGCCTGCTCACTCAGTCGTGTCTGACTCTTTGTGACCCCACAGACTGTAGTCAACCAGGCTTCTCAATCCGTGGAATCTTCCAGGCAAGAATACTGGAGCAGGTGCCATTTCCTCCTCGAGGGGATCTTCCCCACCCAGAGATCGAACCCACATCTCCTGCACTGGCAGGCGGGCTCTTTACCCAAGCCACCAGGGAAGCCCATGAGATGTAGTAACTTGTCGCCACGGAGGTGAGGCCCAAACGTGGACACAGGACACGCCGGAAGCCCGTGGCTGACCACCTCAGCATCTGCTGCTCAGTGTGACTTTGCTATTGAAGGCTGAGGTCTCCTAGAGTGAGTTTCACACCTGGTATCATGGCAGACGACCAACTCAGAAACAGTAACAGAAGTATACTCGTGGTGCCGGTGATGGAGGTAAAATAAAAGTAAAGTTTGGAAAAGTGACGGTGTTTGATAGAAAGCAAGAGTTTTAAGTACATCCTCATTCATACTTTTCAGCACTGCATGGAGGAACTTAACATGCTAATGGAAGTGCATTTGATCTTTTTCTTTTTTAAAGGCAGGCACATCTGCCTTGCCTCACATGAAGAAGTCCTTCTGCAGGTGTTAACAACTGTAGAGGACAGTGATCAGAAAGATCAGTCACACAGCTCTGGAGTCTCAACTCAGAGCTGTGTAGCACAAGACAAGCTGTTGGGGCTTCCCTCATAGCTCAGTTGGTAAAGAATATGGCTGCAATACAGGAGACCACAGTTCGATTCCTGGGTCAGGAAGATCCCCTGTAGAAGGAAATGGCAACCCACTCCAGTATTCTTGCCTGGAGAATCCCATGGACAGAAGACCCTGGCAGGCTACAGTCCATGGGGTTGCAAGAGTCGGACACAACTTAACAAGAGAGTTAAAAGGAGAGAAAGAGAGATAAGTTGTTGCTAAGGCCAAGTTTCCTCGCCTGCAAGATTTTAAAATAATACTATCCTGAGTTACTAGGACAGTTAAATAAGCAATGCCTATAAAGCCCTTAGCACAGCCAGAGAAAGTGATGACTTTTAGCCACTATTATTTTAATGGAGGAGGGGATGGCATAGGATGAGATGGTTGGATGGCATCACGGACTCAATGGACAAGAATTTGAGCAAATTCCAGGCGATAGTGAAGGACGAGGAAGCCTGGCATGCTGCAGTTCATGGGATCACAAAGAGTCGGACACAACTTAGTGACTGAGCAATACTATCAACAGGAGGTGTGGAGGGGGTCAATAATTTGTAAAAGCTTTATTGAGACATAATTCATGTATCATACAATTTGCCCATTTACTTCAAAGGCTTTCAGTAGATTCAGATACATGTAACCATCACCAGTTAAATTTAGAACTTTTTCATTACTTCCAAAAGGAACCCTTATGCTTTAGCCATCCTCCCCGCCCCCTCTAGTCCTAAGCAAACACAAATCTACTGTCTGTAAAGAAAGCAGACTTTCCTGCTGCATAACACAGGGAGCTCAAAGTGGTACTGGAAACAACCTAGAAGGGTGGGATGGGATGGGGTGGGGGGTGGACGGTGAAGTTCAAGAGGGAGGGAACATATGTATGATTCATGTTGTCGTATGGCAGATGCCAACACAATACTATAAAGCAATTATTCTCCAATTAAAAATAAATTAAAAAAAGAAAGACTTTATGAATGAAATCACAGTTCATGGTTTTTGTGACTGCCTCTTGACCTAGCGAGTGTTCCCATGATTCATCCACGTTGTACCACATATCAGCGTTTCATTCCTTCTGACTGCCAAATAATATTCCACTGTATGGACAGCCCACATTTTGTTTTCCAACTATTTGCTGATGGATCATCTCTCTAGCTGGGCTTCCCTGGCAGCTCAGATGGTAAAGGATCAGTTTCCCCCGTTAACATAGGCCAACAGGCAGCTGATTAGATAAACTCAAGTCAGACGACCCAAACAACTGTTTCACCTGTGTAGACACGTGTTCTTCAACTTAACCAGCAAAAAGATGTAATAAAGCGCTCCTGGTCTCCAGAGCACCCCTTTAGCCTGTGTGAATGGTGGGTTACACTGAGACAGTTACAAGGCAAGGGGAAAGAGACGCTCTAACGTGTACCAAACGCGGTGGGAACATGAGAGGAGGTGGAAGAAAGGCTCATCCCAATCATGCAACCAGGAAGGTGTGGGTAGAAACAATTTCAGCTGGACCTAAGGGTACAGGGTCTCCCGCCCTGTCCAAAAGCAGTGTGTCTGTGAAAACTTTCATTAAGCCAAATGGCATTAAAGCAAAGAAGCAATGACCTTAGGGCACATCTTGCTAAGGAATGCGCAGAACACATGTAGCTAGAGTACAGGTACTAACACAAAGGGCTCGCGATGCGGCAGCTGGACGCCGAGTGTGGCTCCCGGCAAAGAGCCCCCAGGGGTGCTCTTGCCCCTGGGACAGCTCGCTGCCAAACTCAGAAAGCAGCTTCCCTTGTCCCATTTTATCATGAAACTGAAAATCTTCCTTGGACTTCAGTTTGGGAAAAACAAGTACTAATGTCGGTTTTTCATAAAAGCAAAGTTGTGTCAAGTTTTAAAAAGGAGGGGCTGCTTGTATTGAAAAGGGGACATTCTCAAAAGAATGCCTTGGGAATCAAGGTAAGGCAAGCGGAAGAGCATTTGATGAGTACAGGGTGGGAGTCCTTGACCACCGGACTAATCATGTACTTTATTCATTGCACTGGGATGAAACTTTTTGAGCAAAGGCAATACACTATCTGTTTTTTAAAAAGGCAACACCAAAAGCAGTGTCCCTCAATCGTATCATGCACTTTTCTGTCTCAAGTTTCTACACCTCCAGAAGTCTTTCAACATCACAAAAATTTGTATGAGCTTTTGAAGAAGTTACTATGTAAATCGAAAATATTGCTGTCAGTTCAATAAAAAACATACTGATTTTTACCAGTGAAAACCAGTCACTGAAGATTAAAAACTAAAATCAAGACTGCTTCTACATAGTGGAACTACATGTAACCTTGTTCTGTATTTTCCAAGTCTCCTGTAGACATGTTATCGTTTTAAAACTAAAAAGAAAAAGCCAAAACTAACCCCGCCATATTTCAAGGCCACTCTCGCCTGCTAAGACAGTCAACATTCTTCTCTGTGGAGTGTTTCTCTCTAAATAAATCCACTTCTTACCTATTTAAAAAAAAAAAAAAAAAAGACGGCCTCTACAAATCTCTAAATCTTTTTGATGCAGTGTTAAGATTCACTCTATTCACTGTCATATAAATAAATCATGCAAGATTTCTGTCACATGTGCTCTTTTGAACATTCCTTTAGATGGGAGCTGTGGAGGACAACTGGCTACTTCTGTTGCAAGGTTGGACGGAGCCAGTCCTTGAGAGTAAAGGCCCAAAAAAGTGAACTTCCTTTGTCTCCAGGCTTGCTTAAATACTGACTTCTGATAATAGTTGAAGACTTCAATTTCCAGGGACAGGTTTGGGTCACCTAGAGCTAGAGGCAGTGACAGAGACACAAAAAGGTACAGGGTTCTTATTCAAGTCCAAGTCAAAGGAAAACGGCCAGGAAGAAAGGAGAGGCCCTTCTAGGATTATGACCTGCCATTTGTGGGGTTTGTATTTGCACATCACAGTATTTTAGGGCTATCCACTGTGTACATTCATTTACATACAGGCTTAAAAACTACACCATATATTTTATGTCCCTTTAACGTGCATTATTTTGTCCACTGAAGAAGTCTCTCCTGTCCTGCTCTAATATCTCTTGTATCTTTTTGAAATACAGAATGTACTGATATTAGGGGGGAAAAAACCTTTTCCCCACGTCTTGACAGAAAATAAACTACATAGCAGACCTCAGTAGACATTCCCTGCATTACACGACAATCTAAGGAGCCAAATGGAATGCAGGATTCAGCATTGTGAACGAGGACAATGAACTGGCCAAGCTAAAGTGAACTGAGACCTGACTCCAAGTCAAAACGTCCTTGGAGCATCACTGAAGTGGGTCAAGAGGTTAAATGATCACCACTGGCCCCGGTTTCAAAACCCGTTCCTAACTGTCACGCCACGGTTACAGGTTACAGCCCCACGCATTCATTTCAACATTTGAGCAAAACAATAAAAGGCTAGGAATAATACAACAGGGTAAGCCCCTGTTCTGTGGCAGCCGGAATGATGGGAGGCTGGAGAGTGAAAGTCGCTCAGTCGTGTCCGACTCTGCCACCCCATGGTCTATACAGCACACGGAATTCTCCAAGCCAGAATACTGGAGTGGGTAGCCTTTGCCTTCTCCAGGATATCCTCCCAACCCAGGGATCGAACCCAGGCCTCCCGCATTGCAGGCTAATTCTTTACCAGCTGAAGCTGGAAACCCACAACAAATCAATTTAGGCCTACAAATGATTAGCTCGTAATCAGCGTTCAGAAGAAAAAGCAGCTGGAGGGATTAAGAGGACCTGATACTTCGCTAGGGTTGCCACGAAAAACCTTTCAGAAGCAGCACAACCCCGGGCTTCAGGTGTGGAAATTCAGCGTAAGGCCAGGTCAATTTTCTTCTCAGGAGCTGAGTAACTCTGAACTAGTTACCGAAGTATTTGTGCAAAACAAGTGATCTCTTAAACATAGCTTGCCAACGGTCAGGCACGGTTCTCCCTGAACCCGTAAAGAGAGATGCTAGTGTCACTTCCCCAAAGACGCAGCTAGAAAAAGCAGCGGAGCTGCGATTCCCCAGTCGGGACAGCGGGCCTCCAGTACCCACATCTCGGAATATCGTGCCGGACTGAATGAGTTATACGCCATAAAGCGCTTGAGAACAGCTCCGGGCGGTCAGAAACCAGGGCCAAGTACACCGCAAGCGCAAGCACTGAGCACTGAACGCCAGGCTGCGAGCCCATGAACCGGCCCCGCGGGTCCCTGACCCGCCGCGCCCAACTCTGCCAGGCTGCTCCGGGGACTGACCACGCAAGCCCCACAACGGGCCCGCACCCCAAAGAGCCCGCCGCGCACGGCTGCTCTCACCTCTTCCCTCCATCGCGAGATTTCCAGCAGTTAGAAAACAGGAAGTGAGCTCTACCACCTTCCCAGAACCGGGAGAGGAACGAGGGAGAAAATAATGTTCTAAGTAAATGAGCATCTCGTTGGGAAACACTATCAAGAAACAGTCAATTTTAAAACTTTAATGAATGTCTAATTTACATCTGTTCCTGGCTTTTGGATTCTAAAGTTCCCGTCCGTGTCTTCCAACTTCCACACCCCCCCCCCACAGCTTCCTGAATGATAGAAGTTTCCGAAGGCCGTTTCTTCCAGAAGGTACTGTCTGGCGTTAAACTAGTCTCAAGTGAAAAATAGGTCTCGGGCGGCCTGCACTGCGTCTGCGCGAGCTCTTGAGCCTTCCCGCGAGAGGAAGGCGGGCTCTGGGTTCCGGCGTGGTCTCCGCCGGTTGAGGGAGAGTAACTGTTGCTGCTGCATCATGGCGTCCGTTGGGACCCTCGCCTTCGACGAATATGGCCGTCCGTTCCTCATCATCAAGGATCAGGACCGCAAGTCTCGTCTTATGGGACTTGAGGCCCTCAAGGTAACGGGCCCGGGACGCACTGGCGGTGGGATGAGGGGAGGCGGCTGAAGCCGGTGGTTCTGCGCCTGCGCAATGTCTGAGGGGTTCTGCCATGTGCTCCGGGGGAAGCTTGAGAGAGCCCCCTTTGGTCTCCAGTCCGCCACCCCGCGCCTGGGAAAAATCTACGTATAAGTCTTTAGTCTCATTTGTGGATTAGGGTGGCCCGCGGGTGCTCTTCAGAGTTGGGTGGGGCTGCTTGAATTCTCAGGCGGTGAAGGCGCGTCCTCGCTGGTTTCTCCAACCTGCAGGCATTCCGAACAGTGTTTTCGTCAGTAGGATGCAGGAGAGGTGTTCTCAGGTCACCTGGGCGGTTAGGACGCTGGCTCTTAACCTTCAGTCGGTGTCCCTGCCACGGCCTCAAAGGAAATGAGGGTCATTTTCGTCGTGGCATCCTAAAGGTTTAGCCATTTCATTTTTGAGTCCCTTTATACATGGTGTATTCCTGGGTGTGGTCACTTAAAAGTTAAAAACGTACACTTTTAAGGAAGAAAATTCAGCTGCAAGAGTGAAAAGTGGTCACCAGTAACCGTAGTACAAGGCAGTGTGTGACCGGAATCACCAGCTATGGGAGGGCGTGTGTGCAGGTAAAAAGTCAGAGGCGGTCATTAGTACTTTGGGTAGAGCTTTGGCTTTTGGTCGGGGATGGAGTAGTGTTCTGGATGGGGGAGAACTAGCTGCCAGGAAGAGGGAAAGCAAGAGCAGGAGAACGCCTGGCACCTTGGAGGAGACAGTAATCTGGTTTTAGCATCGTCTAAGCTGCAGGGTGGAAAAGGTGGAAGTTCTTGAGCGCCTTGACATGACCATGTTATTATCCTCAGGGATGGGAGGGAGCCGTTGACAGGTATTTGAACAGAATCACAATTTAAGTAGAACTGTACCTGAGGAGGTGGTGTTTGGGATGGAATCCATGAAGTTGGTGTGTATGACTGTGTCATCAGGTCTGAGGTGTCCCTTGTCTTGAGGTTTTACTTAAATTAAGCGCTACATTTCTGCCCCAGGCTGTTTCACTTAGGGCGGGTTACACATCCTTTCCCAACCTCCTTTCCCAGTGGGGCCAATACACCCCTGTCGGGGGACAAGAATTAAATGGGGTAACATGAGAAGTGGCCACCCAGCCTTTGACCAATGGTAGGTATTCAAACCACTTGCGTTATGTGTTCAGTTTTGAGTTTCATGGAAAGCAACCAGCAGAGAAAGTAACACCCAGTACATGCACCCAAAATACCAGGATAACAGAAGCCACAGGTGATTTTGCCTCTGCCACATCTTTGTAATCCTCCGTCTCTTGAGACAGGTCTTAGAGAGAAATGTGGCCCCAGAGCTAGTAAAGAACAGGACCAGGGTTCAAACCCACCTCTTTCTGACAGTGCAGCCAGTAGTCTAGAGCCTGCTCCGCGGCCTTGGGGCTGATCCTGCTTTGTTGTGGGGTCTGTCCTGTACGGGGTGCTTAATAGCACCCTGGCCTCCACCCTCTATGGTCCCCTCCCTGATTGTGACAACTCAGGTGTGTCTCTAGGCATTGCCAAACATCTCCTGGGGGCACATTCGCCCCTGGTTAAGAACCACATGCCTGTGGTCATTATTCTTTAAATATTTCATTGTGCAGACCTATCAGTCAAAGATGTATTTTAAGAATAACCAGTATTTTTACAAACTAGTGAACTTTGTGTCTTGTTAACCTGTGAGCTCGGGTCGCAAGGGAAGGCCTCACAGAACATTGCATTAAACTGCTTTGTAAACTGGTCAGGATTTAATGAGCAGAGGCCTTCAGTGCATCAAGACTTCGGGGGTCAGAGGGCATGTTGGGGAGCAGGCCTTAGCCACCCTCACTGGAACAGAGCGAGGTCTGACTTTGAAGAACACCTGGAGCTTACAGACTTGAGAGTCGGAGTTCTGGCCCTGTCGGAGTCCTGGCGACTCGTTTAAGGGTGGGGACTGAGGAAAGCAGGTTTGGGAAAATGGATGACCGCTGGGTGGGGGGTGAACCTGAAGGGTCAGTGATGAGAGACCCTGGAAATCTGCATTGTGTGGTGGGTCAGAGTTAGGTTGGTGAGGGCAGGAGCAGAAAGACAGGAAACAAGGTATTTGGAGGGAATATGTGCGTAATTTATGGAAAGGAAAAAGGATGCCTTCGGGCTTCTGTTATTTTCAGCATTGACCCCCTTGGTGGGCAGTTCTTGGTTGTGGGTTGTGTACTGACTGGACCTTTGGGGAGAGGAGTGTATTGATCCATGGCGTGACAGTTCAGGGTGTTGTGTGTAGACAGCTGGACTCCTCCCATGGAGTTAGCTTTGTACACAGTGGTCCTGCACGGCCTCTCGGGTCAAACTTGTCCCTGCTCTTGGCTGTAAAATGGGCCCGGAGAACCTGCCTCGTTAGATGTGTTGAGGGTTATAGAGAGAACACAGAGCACTTGGTTCTGTTCTTTTACACAAGAATTGTCTTCTCTGACACTAGGAGTTGTGCAGTTTTCACAGGTAGATGTGGCCCTGTTTGCTGCTTTTTCTAGAGAATAGAAGCTGTGTCATAAGTGAGTTTTACAGTGATATGTTCTTAACTTAAAATTACGTCTAACTTGAATATTGGCTTTTTTTGTTTCATTTAGTCTCATATAATGGCAGCAAAGGCTGTAGCAAATACAATGAAAACGTCACTTGGACCAAATGGTAAGAGACTTAACATTCTGTGTTTTTTAATGAAAGTTGTATAACATAAAGTAGTCAATTCAATCTGTTTACAGAAAGTTAGGAGACAGAGGGGGGCATCCTCCCCCTAATATGGTCAGATGTTTAGGATGTATCCCAGACCTTCAACACAGTTAAAGTCATAATGCTACATCCAAATTTAGGTCGTATGTTTTTTCCACTTGACATTTCATTAGCATTTTCCAAATCGTAGCTGTTGTCTTTTGCAACATTATATTTTGTGATACTACATTTAGTGATGCTCCATAATTTTTTTATTTTTTTTGCAATTTCTCTGGTTTTAGCCATCATTAAATTGTTCCAATGTCTTGCTTAAATTAGCCAGTCTAAAAAGGTCTTCATGGAGATATTCCTTCATGTATGTTGAATTATTTGTGATAAGCTGCTCGAAAGGTACTGGGTCAAGAAGTAAGGGTAACTGTTTTATAGGTTTAGTGTAGGTTCTTTCTTTTCCCCTCAGTCATTTTAAACACGATTGTCTCTTAGGGCTTGATAAGATGATGGTGGATAAAGATGGTGACGTGACTGTGACCAATGATGGCGCCACCATCTTAAGCATGATGGATGTTGACCACCAGATCGCCAAGCTGATGGTTGAACTGTCCAAATCACAGGATGATGAGATTGGAGATGGAACCACAGGAGTGGTTGGTAAGAAAAAGCAAAATATCCTGTCTCATTTGAGAAGAGTTATTTAATATTAAGGGCTTTCTTGGTGGCTCAGACATTAAAGAATCCACCTGCAGTCCAGGAGACCCAGCTTTGATCCTTGGATCAGGAAGATCCCCTGAGAAAGGGAATGGCTACCCACTCCAGTATTCGTGCCTGGAGAATTCCATGGGCAGAGGAGCCTGATGGGCTACAGTCTGTGGGGTCGCAAAGAGTGTTACAGGCCTACCATGCTTGCTGAGTGTTTATCCTGAATCACATCATAGGGAGACCGTCCGACAAGTCCATGTGGAAGGACACGATATGAGACAAATGGCCCAGGCTCTTCAAAAGTGTCAAATGTAAAAGAACAGGAAGGGAGTGGGGAGTAGAGTAAGGCAGCTCGTCTAGACTCAGGGAGCTCAAGAGAAGTGACAGCAGCTCTAACGTGTGAAACCTGGTTGGGTGCCAGATTTCTTTTTCCAAGCTCTGAAGGATGTTTGGGACACATGGGGTCATTTGTGGGTCATGTATTAGTATCTTAACCAACGTCAAGATTTCCTGAGTGTGACAGTTATGTTACAACGATGCAGGAGACTGTGCCTGTCCTTAGGAGCTGAATGTTAAAATATTCAGGAGTGACATGTCTGATTTCTGCAACTAATTTTCAAATCACTGAACAGAAAAAGCATGCGTATGAAAAGAAAACAAATGCAGCAAAGTATTATTAATAAGTAAATTGTATTCATGATACTACTCGACATATTTTTGAATGTTTGAAATTTTAAGTTTGGAAGGATTGATGAGATGAATATCCTCAGTGTTACTTTTTCTGCATTTGAAATTTGAATTTATTCAGCAAGTATTTTATACATTCGTTGGGAAGCAAGCACTGTTCTGGATGTACTTGGAGTGCAGCAATATTCAAACTTACTTTTGTGATGCTAAATTAGAGGAGAAGGCAACAGGTCGGGGAAGGATAATAAACAAATTTTATTACTGTAGGATGCCAGCATGAATTTCACTGAATAGAAATCCTTGGCCTAGGAAACAGGAAGGTTTTTTCCCTTATAAAAATGGTTTGTATATTACGTTCTTTGCATCCTGTATGTCACTGAGAGTTGAGCATCCATCTATGAGGGGTACCTGTTAGAACTGTGTTAGAACCAAAACACGAGGCTCCATTTTTAGGGATGGCCTTCACCTCTGAGACACTTTGAGCTTAAATCTGGAACCTTCGTATTTCCAGGA